TGAAGACCGAGTGACTCAATGACTCTTTCCACAACTAAAACCTTTTCCGGCTTTGGTAGATCCGCAGGCAGCCTGTAAAATTTATAGATTTGAATAAGTTTGTAAAAAAACTTGAATATCAAGAAGCAAGAAGTGTGGCTTACCTGCATCTTGCACTGAACCAGAGATTCTCCTCCACAGTCAAGTTTCCATGGACTATGTCATCTTGAGGCACAAAACCAATGATTTTCTTGTATGACTGAATCGATGCAACCTTGCCGTTTATAAGAATCATTCCACTCATGATGCAACCTGGTGCTTTCCCTGTCAAAGCTGTTAAGAAAGTTGTTTTCCCGGCTCCTGAAGGACCCATCACAGCAGAGACACGTCCAGGTGATAGCTTCCCGGTCACGCATCTCAGAAGATGTTTGTTTTTTCCTTTCAAAGTGATGGAAAGATCTTTGAAAGCGACTTCAATTGTAGGTCTTTTTCTTACATCGATGTCATTAGCCATGGAGATGACTCCAGAGAAAGTCAAGTTCTTGTTCTGCTCCTGCATTGCCTTCTCCTTCTCGATCTGGCCATAAGCGTACCTGAACATCTGACTCTGTGTATGCAAGGCTTTACCTTTTGGAGCGTTTTTCTTGATGTTTTTATCACCAATCTCAAGATTGAAACCTTCAGTGTCTTCAGGGTTTTGTTCAATGTCGTGTAACATCTCTGTTAGTTTGTTTTTTTCTTTCTTCTTTCCCTTTTTGGTATCTGCCATTGGTGCTAAAGCAGCGTCTGATCCAGGTTTTGCTTGGCTTAGACCTCTCATCAAATCAGGCTGTTTCATAGATTTCCTCCGTGAAAATGTCCTGGAGAACGATTGCTGCAGATCGGTGGCATGCTTCTTTGCTATATCTTTGGCGGATTTCCATTTCTCTCGTGATTGTGAATCTCTCACGCTCTGTACTGCTTTCTCCCTGGATTTTGCCTGCCTTCTTTCTCTTGTCGCAAGAACTTGATCAGAGCAGTTGTATAAGATTATGAGCAAGAAACCAAGACCAGCCTACACAGAAACAAGCCAATGAAGACTCAAATGATTGTAACTAAACCAAAACAGATACAGGAAGAGATCAAACTATGTATGACTCACGAAAAGCATGATTCCATATGCTGTGATGTTCTGGTTTGTTGATCTTGGATTGCACGTTGCCAGCTTAAAACAATCTGCAAATTCATCAGACATAAAAGAGACGTTAAGTTCTCTGTTCTTTACCTTCTTGATAGTAAGAGTAAAAGTTGTGTGAACAAAAGAGGATCACTCACTTAGCTCAGCAGTAGAACCTGTCCTGCAGTAATGTCTGAAGCAAACAAAAGATTAGTTCAGCTGATTAAAGAAAGTTAATTAAAATCATTCTTTAAGTTAGTTACTTACCCTTTGGTACAAGGAAGCTTGTCGATAGTGGAAGGACAAAAAGATCCAGCAGAACAGAAAACTTCACTGCTACTACCAATGTCAGCCCAAATATCAGCTCCACCACAAGTGTGATTTGGCTGTCCAGAAGGAAGCGTGTAATGATATCTGCGATAACAATATAAATCCTGCTGCTAATCTTACACAAATGTTCAAAAACAAAATTTAGAAAAATGAAGCAAGAAAAACAAGACTTACGGGTCGCATAACCCTGTTGTTCTGTTAAGCTTTGCTTCTGGACAAAAAGCTCCCAAAGGACAAGCTTCACATATCATTGTGAGAGGAAACAAGATTAGAGAAAAAAGTGATGACTACAAAGTGTTATAAAGATATAGATGGTTAATTAACTTACGTATCATGCAAGTAATGCCACGAGGGCAGAAGAAACCTGCGCAGCAAGGAGCGCATTGCTGAACTCGTTCGGGAACGTTTTTGTCGTCTTTAAGGTCAACTTTAACGTCTTTAGCAGTGTGACAAGCCCATCCAGGTTCACATCCAGACATCCATGAAGACAGATTGCAGTTCCTGTTCGGTTTCAAGTAATTCGTAGCTCTCTTTGCACCTCCCATTAATCCATTGAAGTATATCCTTATTTCCGCAGCCGTACATACCCTCTGCATCATGTCACCTATTCTCATGCATACCAAAAACGTACGTCAATAATATTTTCTATTTTTTATCAATCCTTATATAAAATTTCTTCTGACTTGTATCAATGATTACCTTTTGTGGTTTTACCACAGGCGTTTAAGAAGGCTGGCTTTGAAGAGAAATTAAACGCTTCATTATAATCTTCTTTTCTGCAACACAAAAAAAAAAAGACATTTCTTTATTTCACTGATTGGTTTGACAAGTAAAAATATATATAAGAAGAAGATTTTTTTTTTTTTGTAACTAACACATTGGTAATGCAGAAACCGAGCTCTCGTTTAATGTCATCCTCAAAAACTTCTGTGAGGTTCGCTATTTTGTCAAAGACGAATTGGTTATAGAGGCGATTCGCAGCGGGATTATCCAAGCTTTCTTGAGAGATTACTCCTTGATGGAAAATAAAGGCAAGAGAAACGAAGAACGAAACAAATGTTTCTTGAAAGCGTAATGGTTTTCTCCTTCCCATCCCTGAAAATTTTCCAAGAAAAGGGAGACAAGATACAATGTTGCAGTGAATTGTTCTGGTGATCGCGATGGATCAATGAGACATTAGATTATTGATTTGTTCTTGAGATGAGAGAGAGAGAGAGAATTAGGGTTTGTGTTACAATTTTATTATTATTTTTCTTTTGGGGGAGAGATGATGGTGTTTCTTGAGAGTCAAGAAATATGGAGGAGAGGAAGACATGGCGATAAACAAGGAGGAGGAGAGAAAGAGATTTTGATTTGACCGTTTGACTTTCGCTAACTCGTGTCGTGGTAATAATTTTTTACCAAGCAATCATATAAATTAGACCATTAATTTACGGCTATGGCTCTGTATTTTGAGTCAATAACGAAACTTTCATCACACTCCAAAAATCAGTCGACATATATTGAAATGAGGAAGAAGGCACTTTGTTTTATTTTTTAACATTGATTTAAGACTGTCTATAATTTTTCCTTTTTTAGTCAAAACCATATTTGAATTGGAATTTGGAACCAAAATCCATACATGTAATGTACCGCCAGGACTCAACTTTAATATATATATTAAAATAAAAGAGGGTAATGGACAAAAAGAGATAAAGATAAAAAAAGAGGGTAATGGACAAAAAGAGATAAAGATGATGAATAAAGAAGTTCCATAAATCAAGGGAATTATATATTGCACAAACATAAATCAAGTAGGATTTGGAACCCAATACTCTATATATATAATACAAAGATTGACTAACAAATTGTCTGATAACAGAGGGTCTACAACATTCATCATCAAGGGGAAGAGCATAACGATGGATAATCGTAAGCCGGTGTGTAAGTGTTGTGAATGGTGAGTAAATCGGTTATATTCGTTTTTCTTTTGTGTGTGTGTGTGTGTTGTTTGATTCTTAATTAATGGCTCGATTGCAATTTGCACCTGATTTTTTTGGCATGGCAGGTCATGGGAGCAAAAAGTTTACGTCATCTTCATGCACATACTCATCGTGTCGTGCAGTCTTGCAGCATGCTTGTTCATAACACACAACGATATCCCCATGCGTCCAGCCCAAAAGTTTGAGGGATTTGTTATTTTGTCTTTCTACATCAATTTCGCTCTTCTAGGACTCGGAGGACCTGATTCGTCGTCGGAATATGATAACCCGGCTTCAGATTATTTTCTTATGGAATGCTTCAGTCATGTCTTAGGACTCGGTCTTGTCCTGTTTCTCCTCTATATGATTTCTCCCAGTGTCTCTCTAGGTGTCGGAGTACCCTCTTTCGTGTGCTTGATTGCCTTCTCCTACGTCTGTCACAGTGCCGCAAAGGAGGATTTGCAAGCGCAGCCAAATCGTCGACGAGTGTAGCCCTTCTTTTACGGCTCTCCTTTTTTTGTTTTTCTTCTTTTATTTCTTTGTAACCGCATCTGAATAAAGTTATTTTTTTTTTGGGGGGTTTCAAAAACTTTTACTGACTACAACAATGCCGGATAGGGTTGAAAACCAGGTCAACCCTAATTAACCCTAGCTAATATAGAGAAAATAATTTAATAATGGAACCATCATAATCACAACTCAAAGTTTCCCTATGTTTTTCTTACTTAGTATATTTATTTAGTCATTAATAATAAAACCTCTTTATCAAAAAAAAAATTAATAATAAAACCTCTGATATTAAAGGTCGTGACATGTTATATCACGGGTATATGAATGGGCACCAAAGGAACGGAAGATGAATAATGAATTCTTATCATTCTTTATAAAACAAAATTACCATTTGCTAGAAAAAGTTTTCCCATGTCATTCCTTCTCATTCCTAAATCCTAATTCTAAAAGGAATTTTAGAACAAAAATACTTTTTTTTTTTTTTTTTTTTTGCTTATCAAATTGGGAGAGGAACAACAGTTTTCATTAATTTATTCCCATTCATTTTTTTCCTACTCTTTTCTATGATGACTGCAACATGTTCGAGACTCTCTCTCTTGTTGGGACAATGGAAAAAGGAGGAATCTGATGTAGCATCTTAATGTCTTTCTTCACAAGCAACCGGTTATTATTGGTTTTGGTCTTGAGTCTAGTCGCTTCTTTTCCTTTGCTCTGTTTTAGCATATTTCTTTTTAACAATCGTGTTTCTTATTCTTTAGAAAGGAAAGTCGTTTGTGACCGACCTTGATGCTTTCTTATTTAAGTCGATGTAATTCCTCTTCTCACATTCAGTTTTGAAGTTTATTAATAAAAGAGTTATTGCTCTGATCCTTGTCTTGATTTGATTCAATTCATCAATACAGGAAGCTTGGTCTCAAGAGAGTTCTTTGAATTCACTTGATTGAGCAAGAGTAGGTCTCAAGAATTTGAAAGAATCCTTGATCGAGCTACAAATCCGTTTCTTACGCTGCGCCAGGTTGGTATCAGAGCTTTGCTACGCTCTTTTTGTGCCAAAATTTTTCTCGATGCCTCGCCTCAAGAAAACCGCTGCTCCGACGTCGGAAGAGCTCACTCGCCAAGCCATCACAGACCTTCAAGAACAGATGCGTATGATAACGGCAGCATTCCAAAACCTCGCCGCACAGCGACCTCTTGTGAACGATCATGCCGAGTTTGATGAAGAATCTATCGCATCTGACGGTGACGACAATCCTTTTGCTCCTCTACAAAATCAACGTACTCAAGCGCAAACAGAAAACGATGATTTCAGATGGGAAAGTGGATTTAAATTCGAAATTCCAGAGTTTCATGGCGGACAATCACCTGTAGAGCTACTTGATTGGATTGTCACGGTGGAAGAAGTCCTAGAGTTTAAACGTGTTCCGCTTGATCGTTGCGTCCCGGTTCTTACTATGCGATTTCGAAACAGAGCTTCGGCTTGGTGGAACCAACTCAAAGCTTCACGTGCTCGAGAAGGAAAACAGAAAATCGTTTCATGGGAGAAACTCAAATCCAAGATGCAGAAAACATTCTTACCGTATAATTATGAGCATCTCATGTTCCAGAAATTGCAAAATCTGAAACAAGGCTCTCGCTCTGTTGAAGAATACGCCACTGAATTTTTTCTGCTTATTACTCGCATAGATTTACAAGATTCCGAACAACAGTTGGTTGCTCGCTTTGTCGGTGGTTTACGACAGAACATTCAGCATACATTGAATTTGTTCAACCCTCTGTCTGTTGCTGAAGCTCATCAACAAGCCCTCACTGTCGAGACTCAAACCAGAGTAAACTACTCTCCTTGGAGCTCTGCGCGTACGCC